ATATGAACAATTCAGGAAGAATCAAAAGAAAATGGAAGGAATATACAGAGTCACTGTACCAAAAAAGAATTGGTTGACATTCAGCTATTTCAGCAGATAGCATATAATCAAGAATCAGTGGTACTGACGGAAGAAGTCCAAGCTGCACTGAAGGAATTGGTGAAAAACAATGCTCCAGGAATTGACAGAATACCCATTGAATGTTTCAACAAACACATGCAACACTGGAGGCACTTACTTGTTTATGCCAAGAAACTTGGAAGACAAATTGGCCAACTGACTGGAAGAGATCTACATTTGTGCCCATTCCAAAGAAAGGTGATCCCACAGAATGTGGAAATTATTGAACAATATCATTAATATCACACACAAGTAAAACTTTACTGAAGATAATTCAAAAACGGTTGTAGCAATATATCGACAGGCAACTTTTAGAAATACAAGCTGGATTCAGAAAAGAACGTGGAATGAGGGATATCATTGCTGATGTCATCTGGATCTTGGCTGAAAGCAAAGAATACCAGAAAGATGTTTACCTGTGTTTTATTGACTGTGCAAAGCCATTTGACTTTATAGATCATACCAAATTATGGATAACATTGGGAAGAATGGGAATTCCAGAACACTTAATTGTGCTCATGCAGAATCTGTAGGTAGACCAAAATGCTGTTTGTTCAAACAGAACAAGGGGATATCGCATGGTTTAAAATCAGGAAAGGTGTGTATCAGCATTGTATCCTGTCATCCTATTTATTCAATCTGTATGCTGAGCAAATAATCCTAGAAGCTGGACTGTATGAAGAAGAATGTGGCATCAGGGTTAGAGGAAGACTCAGTAACAACCTGCAGTATGCAGGTGACACAACCTTGCTTGCTGAAAGTGAAGGTGTGGTATAGTAAATTACTTTGTGTGGCTTTTCTACCCATAAGTCTTTGTAAACTCCAAGGTGGGATTTGCTATGAGCAACTGAGGAGCTCCTGATTGCTGAAGGTGTCCACCTGGAGTATTTCTGTTGGGAGTGGCACAAAACAAT